ATTTTCACTAAGCTCTTTATACTCATCCTGGGGGCAACTACTTTGGATCAAACTAGAGCAGCAAACCCTGGATTTCTCTGTAATCAGTGCGCTTACTGTGGGATCAGAGCAGGCTGCAGTCTCTGGTACCCTCACCAGCTCCATCTCTCCATCCTGACAGCTCCCACAAGAGGTGGAAAGCCCCATCCTTCAAATATCACCACCACAAGTTGAACATACCTTTCCCCTTGCAGAAGAGTGATAATTATTATCAGTCTGCAACTCACTTYAAGAAACAAAGACCTGAGCAATTATTCTGCTAGTCCTGCTGCAAGAGACATGGAGAAGTGGAAAACAACAAGGCTGCAAACCTCCTCTTCACACAGTGCCAGTGGATGACCACACACTGTCCGAGATCAGTAACTGATGTATGAGAAAGGTTCAAGTGTTAGCAAACCCATTCTAAAGGTAGGTCCTGATGTTTTACAGTATTAGGTGTGGCAAACCACCTCGAGGGCTCACGTTCCTGCTCACACTAATTGCCATTGCAACTCAAACTGAAAATGCAACACTTTCATGCCCTGTCTACACTACAGGCATTGTAGCAAGGGAAGTGCTTACAATAAATTCATTCTGCTCCCTTCCCTCACCAGAGCGCAGCAACAATATGGTGCAGAGTCACTGGTAGTTGAGCAACTCCTTTCACAACCAAGCAAAATTCTGGGAAACAGAAGAACTCTGGTTTAAGGCCAGAAGAATGGCTCCTGACTAATCCTGTCGGTATATGACTATACCTCTCCTGTGCTAAACTCAGGCTCTCAGACATTAAACAGCCAAAAACCACGAGTAGGTGGAGCAGGCAAGTGSAAGGAGATCAATATTCAGGACCTAAAACACAAGAAAGTTTTCTCCACTGCCTCAGCAGCAGATGATCACCCCAGGCCAATGCCCTCCTCCCTGGCCAGGCTCTCAGCYTTGCTACTTCTGCAGCTGCACTGATGCCAACACAGGCTGTAATCATGCTTACTAAAATCCCACTTTTGAACTGTTGCCACACTCTATTAAATAACTTAAGACTAATATGATTTTATCAGAGAGCTTGATCTTACATTTGATCCTCGTGCAAAATAATCCTGAGGGGCATTGCTTTAACACAGCCAAAACAGCTTTTCTGAAGTGAAGCTTAATCCAGAAAACTAACTTTCCAGAAGCATTGAATTACCAAGAGAAAAAGATGATCCTGCATTTAACAGCCTTAGCATCATGCCAGGATAAAAACTGCTTCTCAAACCTCCTCCTGTTTAGGACTGAGGTGCTGTAGGAACACAGCTCTGTACAAACAGCTGCTGCAGGAGGCAGTTTTGTGGGATGAATCCTGAACTTTCACCCATCCCTAACATTCTGCCTTCCTCCTAGCTCTAAAATACAATAAAAGACAGCCACCATCCTCTAAGTGGGACCCACTTGCAATGTTTGACCCATATGTCAAATAAGAGAATGACACACAGGAGGAAAAAAAAAAGGCAAGGTGCCAAATATTTCACTGAAGAAAATAAAAATTCTTTCCATTTGYATTTAAGGTTGGGACCAAGGTTCTTCAGTACTATTGAGCAAGACTATCTGCTTTATTTGATTCCAAGTAACATCATACATTAAGATACATAAAGTATTTGGGAAATCATGTTGGAAATACATTTAAATAGTACTTCCACCATCTAAGTACAATGAAATCCTAGCAGCCATAAATGAATTACTTATTCTTGCAACCCTACAGTTGACACTACTAGTGAAAATCTCATCTCTAAGAGYTACCAATATCAATTCTACAAATGTATTTTGTGAGAGCTCTGTCCTCCAACTCACACTCTGCTACGGAATCAAAAATCTCATAATTAAAAGAAGTAATAATCAAGTAATTTATTTTATTTGATACCTCAGTCATAGGGGCTCTGCTGACACAGATATTGTGCTCCCTTTCATTCACAAAAACAGCAGAGCAGCTGGCTCTGCCATGCAAGAAAGTGAGGATTCAGGGAAACAAAGATTCAAAGAAATACTTACTCATAATCTACTGAAGACCACACCAGAAATCAATCAAATGAAACTGAAGTTCTTCAAAAAGTTCTTGGCAATAGCTGAAAAGAAAAATCTGAACCAGTTCTTTCAAGCAGGAGGAAAAAAAAAGCAAAATAGTTACATACACATGGGAGGAAAGAAGTACAAGGGTCCTTTCTAGACTTTTCTGTCTCTGTAATATCTCCATCTGCTGCAAAAGAGAAGCTGCTGTGGAAGCCCTGCACTGAATTAGCATTTAGTCCATAAGCACAGCAGATGTGGGGGAAAAGTAATCATAAAGAAACAGGCTCAAATACATTTCATTATTATTACCTCACTGAAAAAAAATCTATATTCTTTTGGGGCTTGTCATAGTTTTACTTCTACCCACTCACAGTAAGCAAGAAACAGTAATCCTTTGGGAACAAAAAAATGAACTGACAAATAGATATTGGAATTACTTGTTGAACAGAGATATTAAAGAAGATTAAATGTGTAAAATGGAACCAAAAGCACTGAACATTTCTTAGCAGTAGAGCTGGAATAGTTCACAAATATGAAATAAAACAAAGCTATATACAGTATTTTTAACCAAATGGTTATTTCAGAAATCTATTGCCTATATACTGCTTTCTTACCCACACAATTCCTCCAAGCATGAAAAGCAAAGCTGGAGGAAAGCAGAGCAAACAAAATACTTCACAAATGTCTCATCTATTGCAGAGCACCCTTATGGCYCTGTACTCCCAMGGTTTCTCAAACACTGATGCAATTTAGGTTGCTGCTTTCCTCCTGACACATGTATTTTCTATGCTCCAAAACAAACTTTGTTGAAGAGACACAAGTGTCTAAATGCTTTTAAAAGTCATGAAATATAAAAAGGATTTTCTCTAACAGTGGCACCTCTGTTTAGCCTGTGAGAGCTTGTGGACTCACAATGCCAACAGCGCAGCAAAGCTCTCATAACTAACTCAGGTGAACAGTTCAGAACAAATTCCTTTTCCTGGCATGTGTCACTTCCCRAGAAGTCAATGGGAACACTTCCACATCTGTTGTTGTCCACCTGAAAGGCATCTGCCACCCTCTGCAAATACTGCATTGATAGCAGAAATCAGAGAAACTTAGTAACTCAAAAATAGCAAATGCATTTTCCCTTCCAACAAATGTGCAGCACAGCGAACACAGCATTACATGTCACTACGTGACAGAGTGAACTAGTAGTTGCAAGCTCAAAAATTTAACAGTAAATAAAGYCCTCAGGCTTTTCTTGAGGGCAAAACACACTACAAAAAAGGCTGAGAATTACAGAATATATAACTGGAATACAAGTTGGGGTGGGGAGGGAATTCTGCAAAAACTCTCATGTGTTACAGGATTGTGTATTTAACGATAAACTGTCTGTAACTGATCCAATGGCAAAAAAAATATTGTTCTGTTCTAAGTTGGACTAAGAGACCACAGACAAATGCTCAGGAAAAGATGATTAACGAAGGCTGCTTTCATTTGGAAGGCMTGAAGATTTTCTTATCTGTAAGGTTTGTCTAAGCACAGGCAGTAGACACTCAGACAGCTGTTCCACTMTGGAAACAAAGCTGAGGGATATCAAACTCCAAATATTAGCCTGAAAAGGAGAAAACTTGACAGTGAAAAGAGAAATTAAAAGAAAGMAAAAAAAMTCCTGTCAAAAGCCATTCCTTTTCAAGCCAGCCCAYTTTAATACATTATTGAGTTTAACTCACTTTGATGTATTTGCTTCGGCATAACTTTAAATACAGCTAAAACTCATTCCTCAAAACTGCGGAACAGGGCAATAAGGAGATGTCCTGATTTTCAGTAAAAGAAAGATCTTTGAAACGCCTTCCTAATCCTGTCAGCTACAAATAAAGTTTCTGTTTAGAAAATGAGATATAAAGCTTCATCAAAGATACACAGATTAAAAAGTGAAGTACTGTTTAGATCACCAAATAGCCTCTAAAAGCAAACCCAAGAACCATCATTCCTGCTGGGGTCTTTCTGAAAGTACCAAGACTTGGTACAGACAATAACTGAAATAATTTCAACAGCAAAAAAACCAAAATCTGACACTCCCATCTAAATGTACCTACAGATAGTCAGAAAATATTAGYCAGTAAACCTAGCTTCTGTAACGGTGCCCAACGCAAAGAAATTACCTGATACAGTCAAGTAACAGCTGCTCCAATAATTTAAAATTACCCTTTATTTTTCACGAGGTTTTCCAACATGTCGTGCATTTTAGCACGGTAGACTTTGAGACAGTTAGCTTCAAGTTTCTTTAAATTACAAACAGTAGATACAGTAGGAATATTTTAAACCAATTTCTTTAAAATAAATGTCAAGTTAAGACCCTTAGCTTTAAAGAGAAACTGSCACCATTTCATTTTCCTGATACAAAATTCAAGTAATTTTAAGAGTAGAAAACTGTCCCTATAAAACATCCTATTATTAAAATTTACCAGCGTTCTCAAAATAAGCATCAAATTTCCAGTATCAATTGGGTACAACTACACACTTAGAAAAATAACTCACTTTGAACAAAGGTCACTTGCTGAAGAAAAGTAAGCTTTCAACAGGATGAGYTCTCAGAACAAATGATAAACCATTTTCTCCTTAGAAAAAGGATTTAATCCTTGTTCCATCTCTGCAATGATTTATTTTTTTCTTCTAAAGGTGTACATTTCAGGATTGACAATGAATTAAGGGAACAGGCTACRGAGACATTTTCCCTTCAGTATAAACCAGCATATAGAATTATTGCTTACCAGAAACAACTGTAAACAAGATTCATTTGATTTTGTTTTTCTGCTGTGATTTTTCATTGGTTGGTACCAAACATACAGACCACACAAAGTTTAGCTGTGAAATGAAAACCACAATAATTTTTTCCGATGATTTTGTATTTAGTGTTGCTTGGGTTTGGGGTTTTTTCAACGAAGAAATTTTGTGCTTTTCCATTTTCTCTCCTGACTCACTCTTTAGGACAGCAGAATGGAAAAACAAGTAGGACACTTTTACTTTGGGACTCAAGGCTCAGAGCAGACATGGAGGAATCTTCAAAAATATTAGAACATTTTCTGGTTTTCCTCCTTTTAGCCCAAAGTACCTCTGCTGTGTAAGAACAGTAACTTAAAAGTTTCTTTTATCACCATCTTCCAGAGGAGATCTATAAATAAATGTTTATGCAAAGAACACTGCTGTTGAAGAGGACAAAGAAATAAAATTAAGGATCAATAAACGATACTGCAATGTATCTTGTGCCATTCAGGATAGGAAGTCCTTCRTGTAAATGTGTGAGTCTTCCTGGGTGCATGAAGCTCCATCCTTTCCTGGGAGACTCGATGGAGCAGTTGTACCTAAGAAATTTACATCCACCTCCCTGTGGTAAAAACACAAACACACAAAACCCCAAATATTTAGCTGGTGTTTTAATAAATTTTATTATATATTCATGACTTCAAATAATTTGCTATTATTGTTAGGCTGGGCATTTTTTTTCCTTTTACCACCCCTTTAGCAAGGTGTTGATGACACAATCCTAGAGCATTAATTAACAGACATGCATTTGCAATGAGATTTCCCCTTGYTTTGCTTTACAGTTCACTAGGTAACAACTCATTCAAGTAGCCACTTTGACCATCAGATCTTCAATAACTTTTCTGCAGATTCTCCCAGAGAGAAACAAAGCATGTTCACAGGCCTTATTTCAGGACTGCCCCCCTATCCAGGACAGCATTTAAAAAAATATTAATTGAATTAATCTGGCTGCTGCTTTCAAACTGAAGGTGTGCTTTTTAAAACAGTCAGTGTGGCAAGCACATTCATTGGTGTTGAGGACTGTGAATGATACAGGCTTATAAACACAACAGGTTAAATTTTTCTGTAAGTCAAAGTTGGATATTGCTGCCACAGCTCTGTCTAGCTCCATACTCTGGGGACTGTTTTATTTGAATCAATATCAGACTAGAAAGTAATTTAGCTCAGAAAAAAAAACTTAACAGTCACAAGAGTTAAAAATTTTCATTCTCTGACAGATCTAAAGAAGAATCATTAAAAATTCTACAGAAAAGAAGCCATTTGAGTCAACTTGGCACTATTTAAACTCTTTTGAAAAACTGGTTTTTGCTGTACAGGAATGAAGCATTTCAGAAATGTTAAATATGAAATTACTAACATCTCCAAGTTTTTCTTTAAGCCCTTCTCTCCCACCATCTGAAACCAGTTTGATCAATGCAGTCTGACTGCATYGACAGTTCTGGATCCTGGAACTGAGCAAATTTAGTACTCGTCAAAAAAAGACAAGGCATAATGTATCTCAATTTGTGATCTTTCCCTTTTCAGCTGGGTGTCTAAGTATATGTGTTTGGGCTCTAGTTTAGAAATAATATTAAATATTCAAAGGACACTTTTAAGTCAGTAACTTACTTGAAAGTCCTCTCCTACTTTGTTGAGGGCGATGTTGATTGTGAACGTAGAGGAGTCATGGTGAGGTCTGAGCGASCGCTGTCTGTCAGGGCTGTATTTTACAACAAAGTTCAGCAGAGCATAGCCCTGCAACAAAATACACACAGTCAGACTTCAAGCTGTGAGCTGCCAAGGCACACACAGGATTCTTGGGATTTTTTTTTTTTTGTTTAAAGCCGAGTTTAAAAAAATAAATCAAAACATTCATCTTTAATTACTGCTATGTCATGTATAAATTCCCCAACCACACAAAAAAGGATATAGTCATTAAAATACTTAAATTTAGTCACAGCATGAAGCAATTATCTGCAAATACAGACCCATACCTTGGTATAATAGCCAGCAAAGACTTTCAGTGTTACTGGGGCAATGAATTCTCGTATGAAATGCAGCCATTCATTATCGAATCCTATTTGCTTCATATGAATGTCATCRGTTGGGACATTTTCATAACCTCCAGAAATGCGGCTGTCCTAATGAAAACACCACAGATAGCTTGGAAATAGGAACATGGAATGTTTCTGGCATTTTGACAAATACCGATTTGAAATCTGCAGAATCACAAAATTGCAACAAAGCAACGCTTCAGTGGGTATATGTGAGCTTGCCATACTGCAACACCACAGAACTCTGTGGTGGAAAAAAGTGTGCCAAGATACCAGAGCAAAGATTGGAAGTTCTGCYCCTGAAGGACCACATGCCATGAAGAGACCAACACTGGAGCATGGGAAGAATGCAAGAAGGCCCCCACTGAGGAGGAAGKGGTGGCAAAGAATGTTTGATGACCCAATCTCCCATTTTCCCATCCCTGTGTGCCGCTGGGGAGGAGAAGCTGAGAGAACAGGGAGGAAATTTTAGCCTGGGAGKATGGGAGGAGTGGGGGGAAGGTGTTTTTAAGATGTGGTTTCATTGCTCATTATATCAACAGCTGAACCATAGTAGGAAGTAAACAAATTTCCTCAAGYTGAGTCTGTTTTGCCTGTGATGGCAATTGAATGATCTCTCCCTGTCCCTATCTCACAACTCATAAACCCTTTTTTTACACTTTCTCTCCCCTGTCCAGCTGAGGCCATGACASTGTGACTTCAGTGGGTGCCTGGCACTCCACCAGGGTCAGCACATCCCAACATTAGTTGAAGAATATCTGTAAATCTACTGAAGCAGCTATATAGTAGACTAAACTAAGCACTTTATAGCACAAAGCAGATGTTCCAGGTCATTGGCAGTTGTTGGGATGTTTGTTTGCTGCAGTGCACGGTGACTTACTGTTGTAAAAGTAGTTCAGATCACTCATTAAGATTATGTTTATATATCCCGACACTTACTTGGTGTTTCCCACCAGACCAYTGCCCAAAGTGTTCCATTTCTTCTACTAACTCATCACAGGCGGTGTCAGAAAATATGGGAAACCAAAACACATCTGGACATGGCTATGAAAAGAAAAAAAAAGGTATAAACTTGATGCTCAAGCACATTCTCACAAAAGCAAAAACTATGAGCTACAATCCTAAGCCCTGACCCTGTCAGTGCACCCACACATCTGTGCCTTAGGGCTCTGAATAATAACCCTGGTCTTCCACTTTACAGGCTAATATGAGAAACAGCTCAAAACTTAACATTGCTTTAAACACAGAAAATTTATCCCAGCTTTTTAGAGAGTCTGGGATTTAAGTTCATTAAATCACTGTCCCTAATTGCCAAAACTGATCATCCAACAGAAGCCTCTGTCCAGATCAGTTGCATAATATACCCAATGGCAAAAGTTCAGTTCTGATCCAAAACATCAAAAAACTTAGTCACAAACCAAAGCAGCAATTGCATGGAAATAGTTACTACATGCCAATTTATTACCAGCTTGTCCCACAAATTTTTAGAAAACTTATACCCACCTGTTCTACTATGTTRTCAGTGAAGATCTTTGAGTAGTTTGGATTTATGTAAGTTTCCTTCCAGTCCTAAAAAAAAACATGACTTTGAAACATTACAACAGAACAAATACATTTATAAGTGACAAAAGGCAATTTATATTCTATTCATTTGCTTTACTGAATGCATTGGAAATAGTTTCATTATTTTTTATGCTCATAAACAAACTGGTTCTCATCATGTCAAGAATCATGAAACCTGGGGCTATATCTCTATTCTCTAGACATCAGCTGGCTTCCTGATATGACATTGTCATTTGGTTAGATGGGTGAGAACACCTTTTAGCACATAATCAATATTTGGTGCATAGCAAGCAAATGTTCTCCATGTAAAGTCTTTAAATTCCAAGTCCTTTTTAATATACAAACACTTTTTTTCAAATAAAATAGCCATTTCATCAATAATTAGATACATACCACAGGATTCTCAAATATCTGCCAGAGGTCATTGTTGTAGTGGGAGGTGTTGTAATTGGCTGTAGAAAGAAGTCTTCCAAACTCATGTCTGTTGGTAATGTACATGAAAACACCCTACACCAAGTAGAAAAAGTGTCATTAGCAAAAATGTCCATCTTAGCAAAGTTTTAAAAAGGTCTGTTCATGACTGTGCTTTCATAAAATATAACACATTTGCATACATATATTATGTACATGCTGATCATTTAGCATCCTAATTTTCAAATGGTTGACTCTAACCACCAACTACTCTTCACAACTTGTCCTTTACAAGCATTTGCCTGCATTTATTTTCTAAACACATTAAGCCAAAACATATATTGTTGAGAACATATATAGAGTTATAGAAAGGAAAAAACAGAAGAGTGGTTGATTTGAGTGATTTGAGTGAAGAGTGATTTGTTTTCCAGAAAACCTAAGCAGACACAGTGAAAGCATCTGTTCTCAAACTGAAAATGCTCACACAAGAAAACCAACATCTAGGGTTTAATTTCAAATTAAAAGCTGAAAGAATAGGCTAACAATCAAAGRGTTCATGAAAGTCAGAACAAGAAACTTATTTCAGAGTATTCACTACATGATCCGCCTGGTGAATTGGCCTGAAATAGAAAGATATTGGCAAATATAGCACACAAGAACATTCAGATCAGCATCAAACAGCTGAGCACTGAAGTCTGTTCATGTAATTATGTGCAAGATACCAAGTGTGGTAAGATACAGCTTTACTACCAAGCTATTAACAGAARGTATTAACAGAATTCACTTGATTAGAAACAGTAGGAGAAAATAGTATTTTTAAAAAGAAGCTTAGATTCTATGGGATTTTTTTAGTTTAAGGTTTTTCAGACTAAAACTTTTTTTTTTCTAAAATGTTCGTAACTTTTGGATTGGCGACAGATGAAGACACTACCATTTGGGTACTTTGGTACTTCTGTCTATGTTTTGGTCTGAAAAAGAGTTAAACTGTTAGAAAGATAATGATTATGTTAAACATGCCCAGTTCTGGGCACTTACCAAATCATAAAATAGCCGCAGCAGGGAGAATAAGGAGGGCCTGGGTTGAGAAAAACAGCTTAAAGTGACAATGTGGTCACTGAGGAGGCCTGGCAGACCTGCTGGTGATTAGAGCTTTACTCCTCCCTAGGACTGCTCCATCTATTTTAGCTACAGAAGGACAATGTCATCACATCTTGGACCTCAGCACTAAGAAACCCCCTGAGGAAACCAAGAGCCTCTCTGAGATGCTTTGAGCTGGTCATGAAAAACCTGTCCCTGGCAAAAACCTGAACCTTAGAAGACTGAAGAGAAAGCTAGAGCAGTATTTCATCAGAGTGAGTGGACAGAGGAGAAGGATCTTCTTGTGGTAGTGTAATACTGCATGTAATAACTAATCAATAAAAAAAAAAAAAAAATAAAGCAACACCTTTGGGGCTCTGAGCATATGGAATGTTTCCGAAGAAGGGGAGTCTTTTTCCCTTTGTAAAGTCTAAAATGAAGGAGAATCACCACATCAGTTTTCTGACACAATCTTTCTCTTTTTCCAACCACTTTTAGGTTTCCACAGTTACATCAGGGAAATAGCAGCCTTTGCTCTAAAGCTGATATGCCTTCACAGAAACATGCATCTCCAAGCAAAGCTCTTCACACATGTCAAAGCTGTTTCCACCAGCCCCTTCTTATCTGCTGCAATACAAAACCGAGCACRTCCCAAACCCTCCTGCAGCCCAGACTGAGAAAGAGGGAAAGARGAAGCCATTTTCTGATGAGCCAGATTAGTTTAACGAGCACATGGAAAGCACAGGTTTGCAGGAACTGATGCTGAGGAGGTTTRAATACAACAGGATTGGACAGGCACGTTCTGAAGAATCAGTACAAACAAAGGAGATCATGCCTTGTTATGAGGGAATAAAAAAATTAATACTTGCCAACTTTTCTTGTTCAATTCAGCAAAATTATTTTTCAATGCTATAGTGTCTGGAAATAGGTCTGGTTTAGGTCTTATTTGTTTCTGTGCTGAAACTAGTGTAAATATCAGTAGAAATATGGATTTACAGATTCATAACTTTACAGTACAAGTAAGTTCTCCCATTACTTCCAGATTAGTAAAAGTAACAAATATCTGATACMGTTTTAATCTATCTGGGAAAATTAATGAGTAATTCATGCTTCCTAAGAAAATTCCTACCATTTCTTAAATCACCTRGGCTTTTTATATAGCACTGCCCATCAGTAGTTTAAACATATATCTACTTAATAAAAAATGGCAAAATATTCCAACTTAATCTGCTAGACATTTCACGCTGTATAAAATTGTGCATGACAGAGATGTTCCAAATGCACTGATAAGTTTTAAGTCATACACAGCAGAGAAGTTGAGCCCTCTTTCATCTGTTGWTGCTGTGCTAAGGAGAAAGGTATTTTAACCTCAACAGAAATTTTGAAGGAATTTAACCAGAAGTCACCATGGAGTCAGTGCGTCAGTGCACTGGCCTTGAAAACCTCTGTTCTCAGCAATTTAAAAAGAAATACACCTGAAGTGTTTTATCACACAAAAATTGGCCAGTACTTTGAATTACAAGCAAAATATAATATCTGAGATCAATCAAGTAAAGCAGTCTACGAGTTCAGCAGGACACAAAGAAATGCGTGCATTTGAAAGCAAGCTGTTACAGATACACCTTACCATTTCCCTGGCATTCCTGCAGAGTGCCATATCAGGATCCAGCTTATCACGCATGAAGTAGTTCTTTTCTTTCATCTCTGATCTGAGAGTTTGTCCCTTTATTAAGTATATATTAGCCATATAAGGGATATTCCATACACCTCTGTTGAAAAATAAAAAAAAAAAAACAACCCACAAAAATAGTTTAAAGCTATGAAAACAAATTGGCTGCCTGTTCTATTAAATCAGCATTTCTGTATCTGCTGACAAGACTGAGCAAGTTGCAAGGAGAAGCTGAAAGGTTCCCAAGACACTTGAAAAACTACATCTGGACATCTCAACCGTAGGCAGTAATTCAATTTTTATGAAATACTGTTGTAAAAATACAGAAAGGTCAAATTCTCTGTAGATTTTTAACTACACGTGTACTACATGTTTCCATAGTTAAGGCAATCAGTCAAATGATCTTATAATATTATTCTACACTACCAGATGGAGAAAGTAACTCCAAAACAGATATTTAAATGAGTTTAAAGCCTTCACCAAGACTTCACACAGCTGGCCTGACCCCCTCACACAAATACCCACGGACCACATCAGGCTCTGTATTTATGTGAGTGGGGCCAATATCAACACAAAAGCATTGCTTTCAAAACACTCCCTTGCAGATTCCCTCCCTCCTGGCGCCACGAGCACATCTTTCAGTTCAGCAGGACTGAACACAAGCCAGTCCTATTCAAGCAGTCAGTTTGTTTCAGACCTTTCTCTTCTTCCAGGGCAATGAAAAGGTGTCACCATATGGGAAAGTCAAGCTTAGAACAACTTACATCATATTAATTTAGGGGAGGGATAAACACAAAAATTCATTCTCCACAAAAGTATTGCTGAAGGGCTCCTTAAAATACACCTGATATAATATACAGGATGAAACCCATAGAGGAATTATAGCTGTTCCATTGATTAAGCATTCGTCCCAAAGAGATGACAAAGTAATTTGGTGAACATAACAACCATTCCTTTTGGCTGAGGTTCCAGGGATACAGTTTTGGGTTTGCTATTTGTTTGTCCTGCCTTTTTCTGTACTTTGCACTGCAAGAGCAGCCGGACACCCTCAGACAGGTACCAGTAATGACTGTGTCCAGAACCAGCTCATCACATTAAATACTTTGTTTTTGTTTTCCCAAGCTGTGAATGGGGAAAAAAACAATGTATTACTCTGAAACAGAAAACACAAAACAGTATCACTAACCTAAGCTCTTTGGAAATAGCAACATATTCTCATATATTTTCGTGCAGTGTGCTGCCAATAACCATACTGGGTGCCTTGACTTTAATCATTAGCTTACAATCACTTACACTCTGTTCCCTTGGACAATATCCACATAATCTTCGGATCGAGCATAATAACCATCTGGGCTCAAAGCACCCCAGAAATTGGACCAGAGCTTCCCATGACGAGTTACGAGAGGAGCAATTATCTTTCTGTGAAGTGACACATYGAATAAAAAAATATGAAACTCTGAAACATCTGAAATTCACATCAGGAATTGCTGTCTGACAGGGACAAAATGCTTTGTGAATTGGTGGTCCCCAAGCCCATTATGAACTATGGCAATAAAATACCACAAGTAAACAAATGGGATTTAACCCTGCAAAAATAAGCAGGATCCTCTTTTCTCTGGACAGACCCCAGARAATCTTTGCAATTTAGAGGAAATTCTAAAAAATAAGGGATTTACCATACCTGTTCTGTTCTATCAGTATTCTTAAAGTTTTTGGGTTTGTTAGCACRACATCTGCATCTATGCTAAAGTAATATTCACATGTTTTATCCTGGCGACAAAGGTCCCTAAAGAGAGAAAAAAGGATGGTTAACTCACACATGTCCAGAAAAAAAAAAAATCACAGACAACAAAGCAAACAGTTTAAAAAAAACTCAAATCACAACTTAGTACTCAACTGATTCATTGCATTAAAAGCCCACTGCAGCACAGTATTGTAAAGAAAGGTATCTTTAGATTACAGTAGTGTGATTGACTAAAAGATTAAAATACGKCATCAGGTGCATCAGGTGCCTTATATTTTTCTCTTAACAAACAAAGTGCCCTCTAGCCTTTACCAAGTCCAGTAATACCTTCTATATAGGTAAATGGGGCAGGGGGGGAATGCCACTAATTTATATATATATAGCTAGGTACCAGTACAATCACTTAATAGTGAAGTTTGACCTTATTTAGTCAGCTCCTCTAGTAAGTAACTGCATGTGGCTGTAATGCTATGTTTGGAAAAAGATTGCAGAGATGGAATCTGCTGATCTGAATGGTAATTGAAACCTTAWGGAGAGTGTAAGACAAAAAGCATAAATAAATACATATTTAAAGACCTTTTCCTCTTCTTTTTGAGGCCTATAAGAACAACACAGTTGGTACGGTGAAATGTAAACCAATTGCAAAGGCAGTGAATTTATACTTGAGAAAGTAATTGACTGTGTCCATACACTGTTTCTATCAAATGTGATTTTGGTCTCAGAAGAATAGACTATTCCACAAATTCCCATGCCTTCAAGAGAAGGACAAGCAGAAAACACATTCTTCCGTAAATATAAAAGATACACAGACTATGTTTGTATGTTTCTGGCAGGGTGCACTTGCTAGGCCAAGAATGGWATAGTGAATTCGACTTTCCTATGCCATCAGAATAATAGATCATAGCAAATGAAATATACTTTCAGAAAAAGTGGAACAATTTCCTTAAGTCAATACTACAGCAGTAACTTCTTATCATGCAGGTGTTATTACTGTTATTCCCTAWTTTAATTCCACTGTAACAGCTTGAAACATTACTTTACTTTCTCTATAAATACTGCTTTAGTTTTAGTTCCACTTGATTTGATTGATTGTGACTGTTTTCTGCAAAGGCAAAGTTCTCTGTCACTTCAGAAGATCASACAAAGGGTGGATGTGACAGGTTACATACAAGTCAAGGTAAGGGCTGGCACAGCTTTCTGCCTGCTTTTCTTCCATCCCCCTCCAAACCCAGCACTGAATCTTCCAGAAGGATCACTACTTATCAACACCTTTTGGGTTTTTCTGTTCAAACTTTCTTCTCCTCAAAGGACTCGAGGTGTGACTTTGTTGGAACCACAGTAGAAGGCAGAGCTTTTTTATTTCATAGCTTTAAGCAATCCTTCAAGCTCTTCAAACTCTTCAAACTTGATCACTAAAGACATAGCAGTAACTTCAGCCAAATTTTAAAATACCCACATGTCAGAAATGGTCTTCCCACTGCTAYAAAATCCCTGTGTTTGGACACACCCCCACAGTTTAAATCTCTGGCCAGTCTCTGGTTTTTGCCTTAACTGACATCTCCTTCACTGACAATTTTCTCTTTTCTCTCATAAATTTTATGACAAATTCCTTAATCAGCACTTCCTCACCTAATTGCCCCAGCTGAAACCAGCAGGTTTTATTTCGGCCYTAACAGAGTCCTGCAATTCAGTCTTTATGGTATTTTCCATTACCAACACATTCTGTGCAAAGCTTTATAACCACTGAWCACAGCTCACACGTAGCTTGATCATTAGCTTAATTACCATTATTAACAGTAACCTGACTGTTATATTGCACTTGGCATTAGTTGTTAAATTGCTTCCAAAAACATTCAGCTCCTTGATCCTTATTCTAGTAAGGAAAATAGACCTGAGAGACCAACAGATTTGATGCCAGTCCAGGGTTCCTGCCAAAAGCAAGTAAACCTTTTGCTGCTAACAAAAATATGAATGGAATTAACATTTTTAATTATAAAAGTGTGACAAAATGGAACAGATTTATATTTAGTTGTAGGCAAACACGACTGGAGAATTAGTTTCATAACAACAAAATGCACTGTGATTTAACTTTGGCCTTTTTTTTTCGTCCCCCACACCATTTAAATCCAGAACCAGAGAATTCTATTACAGCTCATCGCACATGCTTAATGTTAGAAACCCTCCTGTACTTCACTCATAATAATCCAAACCACAAAATACTAAATTAAGTTTTGGTCTAGGTCATAGTCAGTCATTCAGTAATCTATTGAGAACTCTCTGAATGCATTCCTGTCCTAAATAGTTGGGAAATTTCAGGACTTTTTTTTTCCTATTTTTTTCTCTACAACACTGAAGACTGGATCACCACATGGTAGAACTTATCCTTCACATTTGACATGATGACTTGGATCCGAAAATGCCGGAAGAATTATGCTGCAAGCATGAATTTCTGCCATTTGGTGATCCTCTGCACTTTAAGGTCACTAACAAAAATCTCCCCAAAACACTACAGGTTTAAAGATGGAGAGAAAGAAAGTGATAAAAGTTTCAGTCAAAATTAATAAAGCAAGCACACACTCAAGAAATTCATACAGCTCCTCTTTAGGCTTTCAGGGTTGCCCAGTAGCTTTGCCCAAGGAAATAAATGTAACCCTTAATATTCTCATGCTTTAAGGTGTTCCATTCTTACAGCATATGCTAACCTCTCCAGATGCAGAAATCCCAGTAAGTGAAACTATTTATGTATTTCCAGGTCACCCCAGGAACAAATGGAAACTGCTCTCTAGCAAGGCTTCCTTACCTAAATTCAAGGGCTAAAATCTTCCATCTACTTGCTTTACACTCCACCTGCTCTAAACTAAGACCAAACGTTGAAAAGCAAGCTATGTTCTTGTACATAACTTAGAGCAATTTCAGTGCAGCGATGAACAAAAATTCGGAAGAAGGCCAAGATTTTTTGGTTGGAAGCATGAAGTGAAACTCAGCAGAACGATTTAAAGTATTTTGCAATCAGAGTGATGTTTGACTTTGTTTAAAACCACAAGTCCATCTGGAACAGTGACCTCATCTGAACACAGGAAAGTGTCACAGCTCTTCCCTTCATCACACTTTCCACTGAAATATTCCAGGGGGCTACTCGTTTATAACAGACATATTGTCTATCCAATTTATTTACCATTGAGCCACCTTTTTTTTTTTTAAGACACAGTTTGAACTTGCAGTTAATCAAGTTGTCATTTTTAGACCTCTCAGTTTGGAAATACAATTCCAAATGTGGACTGCAAGCCCAAAKGGAGAGCACTTAAACCATCTGATGGGCCTCAGAGAGCTGTTCCAGATACAAATCTGGAACTAAAAGCCTAAATAGTATCACCTGCCCTTCAGGGTTACATTTTGCATCTCTCCAGACAGCCACAACAGCATAAAGATGTTCACATCAACCATCACTAAAAACAAACAAATGTACCCAGCAAACAGATAAAGCACTAGTGTTTAGTTAGAATCCCAGGTTTAGGTATTGTTACCACAGCTACCACACCTGGAAGCTACTGAAACCAGATATGGGTGGAAAACATGTTTTTCCACAACACTCAAAGTGTTCCTCCTCCACCAGAAACCCAAAACTGCTGAAGTGTTCAGGACAAGCAGCTCCAGAAAATCCAAGTCTCTAACAGCAAACACTTGGATCTGGAATACAAAGATTTAACCCCTRCTCTTCCTTCCCCCTCAAGCCAAGACACCTGCCCTACTCAAAGGCTGTGTCCTACTCCCTCCCTCCTGTGTCCATGCYATCATCTCTCAATACAAATGGCAACTCAGAGACAATGACTCTATATCCTCCTTCAAGAAAAACATAGGAGACCCCAAAGTTAGCTCAAAATACAACAGTGCTGTCAACGAGATCCGATTCTGATCTCTCTACTATTCTTCCTGCAATTTTTGAAGCTTTCAACAAACTTTCATCAAAATGTGCACATTCCCACTTAAAAGCTGAGATAAATGTCATTTTTTATGAAGTTTTGGAAAATTCCTGCCCAGTTCTGTTACTAATACTTTTGAGAGAGGAACCAAAAAGAACCAACTCCCCCCAAAGATAAATCCTGAAATCTGAGGATACGGGGAGAAAAAAATATTCAGGAAAATACTCTTTTTATAAATAAAACCTCAGAAGTGAATGAGATAAATATTTCCCAAATTTCTGTTATTACTTGAACATATTTAATTGCTTTTTATGTTTTCTGTCATAACAAATTCTGTAACAGCTGGCTGAAATCTCATCTGCAATGAAGGCAAAACCACAGATGATTTTTTTCTCACCAAAAAAAAGAACCAACTATAAGAACTCATATCTTATAGACAGAGGCTGAAACAAAAGAGATGGAAATGCCATTGAAATGTTTCAGGTGATGTAAATGCAGAAAAAATAACCATAAAACATGCACTCTTTGTTCTCCTTAGTTTTCCTTCCTTTTAATCTTGACTCAGCCCACAACAAGGAAAGCTGTGCACTCCTGTTTYCCTTGTTAACTGCACAATTTTGGCTCCTCTCCAATACTTATACAACTTTCACAAGCACAGGAGAGGGTTTTCCATGTCAGGAAGAAGCAAGAAATTAAATGCTTCAATTATTCTTTRTTATGTGAAAAGGAAAAGTAGACCAAGGCTTGCTGCATGGCTATAGGCAAATGAATAAAATGAACAAATGAACAAATGTTATTTTCTCATATGTATGACAGAAGCATGTCATTTAATGAGAATCTCATTGTGATTTATCACCACTTTTTACTGAGCCAAAACAAGAAAAGAGAGGTGAGGAGAAAACTGATTAAACTGCATTATACACTCCAAAGTATTCTGCTGAAAACAACCAGACCTTCAATGGTCTTTGTATTAACTGAACCCTGTTTTGCTTCAACTGAATAGTTTCAGGGTCAAATGTGCAAGTGAGAAGACCAAATTAATTCTAAATCTACTAGAAGAGATGCTAACAGCAGCAGATTTGGAAAAGGAGAGAAAGTACTTAAGTATTTGAGCCAGATAG